CTGCTACTACAGCTACCACTGCTGCTGATGACGAGGACATTTTTAGTGACGACGATGATCTTGAATCAACTCCAAATGAATCTAACTTCGGTATCAAACACGTATATGAGAGCAAAGCAGTCGGGTTCGAATTCGCCAGCGGACGTCACGATGATGATAATGATGCCGGTGGTGACAAAGTGGGTGATGATGACGAAGACGAAAACGACGATAATGATGATGATGATGATGTTATTAAGGAAGATGATAATTACTACTACTAATAATAATAATGATAATGAAGCGAGTTGAAAAAAAAAGGTCCGTAAGTATCATCAACGAACAAGATGGTGGTGATGATAACAATACTACTACTGACTATAATAATATCAATAATATTATAATTATTATACTATATAATAATATTATAATTATATTATATAATATAAAAATAATAATATTATTATTTATATATTTATTTATTTATTATCATTCATTTATTTTCGTGATACGTCAGAGGGGAAGAGGATAATAAATAAACAATGTAACCAAATGATCGTCTTTTTTTCATATAAACCTTTAAAATTTATTGAAAAGAACTTAAGAACGAACGAACGAACAAACAAACGAACACTCCTTTTTGCAAACTTTTTTAAAATAAAATTTAGCAATAAGAATTAAAAAATGAATGAAAGGCAGGCTGATAAGAATCGAAATCTCCGAGATAGAAGCGAAGTAGATGAAAAAAGTTACTTGGATTTGAAGATCAGACCAACAAACACACGCCTGACATCGTCACGAGCCACAAACGTCAACACGTCTGCCTGCCACCACCACCACAACCACAACACCACCACCAGAACCACAACCACCACCAGAACCACAACCACAGCCCCTAAGCGAGACAAAAACGCTAATAAGAACCAAGCAGAATCGACCGAGGGTTCGGAGGTGGCTATAACAGAGAGCAGTGCCAAACCTTCGACCACTGAAAAATCTGCCAGCGCTGCCGAATCGTCGGAGGTTGCGTCCACAAAAGCAGCGACACCCAGCAGTGCCTCTGAACCACCAGCTGCGACTTCAACTTCAGAGAATGTCAAACCCGTTGAACCGTCGAAAGGTAAAAAACTTCCTCCGCAATCGAGCCCACAACCGCCAACAGCTGATTCAAAATTATCGCCTAGTGAAGCAAAAACATCCGGCAAAGCAAAATCGCCAGGCATAGCTAAAACTTCCGCCAAGATTAAAACTACTCAAAAGGTTAAAACATCCGTTCAAGCAAAACCCCCCTCCCTTCTGAAGCCAATCAAAATCACAAAAAAGTCCAAAACAACAAAGAAAATTGCCAAATCCCTGACCTCGACAAGTAGCGAGATAAAAGTTCTGCCGGTTGCAACCAAGTCAAAAGTGAAGAAGAAAACTTCGAAGACAAAAATTACGAAGACGATCACCAAGAAAAGCGAAACCTCGAGTAGCAGCAGCGAGTCGGAGACTGCCAAAACTTCAACGAAAGCAGCGTCAACAACAACGACGACCGTCACCTCAAGCAGCGAAGAGCCACCATTCCCGCAAACCTCTCGCTTCCGGTACAAACTCTTCAACAAGTTCGGCGACCGACTGAAGGAGAGTGACCTTCTGTACAAGGACCAGCGCAAGAAAATCTGGAAGCAGGCGAGTCCTTACGTCATAAGCAAGAGTGGGAAGGCCGACCTTCAGTGTGGCTCCTTCTCGGCATCCGACCTCAACTTCGATTGGAACCACCTGAAGAGATTTTTTAAGATGCTGGCCGCTAGTTTCAAGCTGACCAAACAGAAAATTAAAGACAAGTACGTCAGCGAGAGGTCGCCAAAAGCATCGACTTCCTTGTTTGAAAATGAAACTGTCCCTTATAAGAAAGTTTGCAAACTTAATTTCATTTTGGAACGGTTATTAAAGTTTAAACGACCAGGAATTGAAATATACGTGCGGCGTTCAATACACGAATTTATTCAAATAATGTATTTGGTTTAACGTTCGCTCATTCATTCAATCACTTTTCATTCATTCATTTTTTCATTCATTCGTTCATTCATTCGTTCGTTCATTCATCCATAGGTAGTAGCAAGACACAGCGAAAGTGATTCTCAGTTCTTCAACAAACAGCCGGCCAACGTAAGAAGATATAATCTAATGAGAAATAGTTTCCTTCGAAATGAAAATTATGTTGAAAATTATTCTCAAATATATTATTTAATCATATTTGAGATAATACTGTCATAATTTCACTCATTCGTCCATTCATTCATTCATTTATTCATTAAATAATTATACCAAATTATTAATAATAATAAAAAATGCTCTAGGCATGCCAGTGCAAGTGTTGCTGCAACGCCAAACCAGCCAGTCACACCGTCCCTAACATGTACAACACCCTGAACGCACCTCAATACATACCTGTTAAGACCACTACAAGGTTCTTCTTCTATTTGTTCATTCTTTTGTTCATCTGTTCGTTCGTTCGTTTGCTCGTTTGATTTCAATTCGTTCGTCATCGAACTCATTTATTTTTACTTTGTTTGTTCATCTAAAGTTTGTTTCTTCACTGGTTCATTTAGTTTTTAGTTCATTCACTTGTTTGTTCATTCATCTATTTGTTCATTCATTTTTTCAATTTTTTTCAAGCACAAGGGCACCAACACCCTATCCGATTCGAAACAAAGTCAGTCAATGAACAACCATTAATTCATTCTTTCGTTCATTCATTCATCCATTTATTCATTCGTTTATTCATTCATTCATTCATTTATCATTCATTCATTCGTCCATTTATTTATTTAAAAATAGTGATAAATAATTTTATTATTATAAAAATTATTTTCGTTGAATAAAGTTGTTGCAATCCTCTGTTGAGAATGTTTACACGGGGACGCAAAGAATCCAAGACGTTGTTATATTTATTTATTCGTTCACTCACTACTCACTCACTCACTCACTACTCACTCACTCACTCACTCACTAACTCACTCACTCACTCACTCACTCCATCAATCATTCACTTATTCACTCATTCCTTTATTTATTCACTTGTTCACTACTACTACTCTAGCCGCAACAACCGCTACTACTGTTGCTGCTACTACTTCTATCACTTGCAACTACTAGTAATAAATTAAAATAATTATTAATAACATTATCATAAAAAAAATTCTCAGATAATGTCTCAATACACGAGAAACGTGACGTCACAAAACATGCAGCAACAACAGCAGCCACTCCATCCACAACTACAACAGCAACAAACAATGATGCCAACCGCAACGACCACTGCCACTTACAAGTGTCACCTACATACCGACTTGCATTCAACGGATAACAGGGTTTATTATTATTATTACTATTATTACTCTCATTATTATTGTTATATTTATTAATATATCATTATTAAATTATTATATTATTATTATTATATTATTAAATTATTATTATATTATTATTAAATTATTAAATTATTATATTATTATTATTATATTATTATTATTATTATATTATCATTATTATGCTTTTTTCTATAGTTTCCAAACCTACCCATTTTTACCTGCACTCCGATCAATAGCAATGATCCAGAATGGTAGATTATTATTATTATTATATTATAAATATTATTGTTGTTGTTATTATTATTGTTATAATTATCATCACCATAATTATTTTCGATGATGACAATAGCAACAGCAAAAAATACCCAAAAAATAACTACAAGTTCTTATTGTCAGTAAAGTTGAGTGTCAGTGCCAATGTCTGGCCGAGGGCACCATGCCTGTCGCGACACTCGTCCCACCAGCCCCCCTGCCGACAATTTCTCACCATCAGCATCGTCTTCCTCCCCAGTCTCCTAATCATCACCATCGTCATCAGTTCACTCATCGTCATCATCATCAGCAGCAGCAGCATCTTTCTCTATCATCACAGGATCAACAATTTAATTCTTATGATCTCATTGCCTTGCCAATTCCAGCCTTAAGGAAAATTGCCGATATTAATGTTAGATGTGATGATAGTCATGTGGTGGTGATGATGATGTGGTGATGATGATGATGTTGTGGTGATGATGATGATGTTGTGATGATGATGATGATGATGTGGTGATGATCACGATTATGATGGTGGCGGCAGTTGATAAGTATTTTAAAAAAAAATGTTTCTACCGTTCGTATAAATCCGCCGAATATGAAACAACAACGACAACGAAAATGACGTCATCAGCATCAGGCGCCACAGCCACAATATCTCATGCAGCAGCAGCAGCAGCAGCAACAACAACAGCAGCAGCAACAACATCAAAAGCCGTCTCGAAACTTCATGAGGAAAAGTTCTCGCAAATACCTTCCTACCATTGTTGACAGCTACCAAACATTTTACAGGTTACTACTACTGCCACTACTGCTTCTATTATTATTACTACTACTGCTGCTGCGGCTACTGCTGCCGCTACGACTACTACTACAGCTGCTGCTGTTGCTACTACTACTATTACTACAACTACTAATAATAATACTGCTACAACTACTTCAATTGCAACAATTACTACTTTCTACTACACTTCAACTACTACCATTAGTACTATTAACAATAATAACAACAACAATAATAATAATAAAATAATAAAAATTATAATAAAATAATAATAATAATAATAAAATAACAATAACAATTGCTGCTGCAGATACAAAGGGAGCAGTTTGAATCCGTCAGCTTCGACGACGTCAACAATGACGTTCAGACTGAAGAGGATGCGCTCCAGCACGAACTCGACCACAACCACACGAACCGCAGCGGCCACTCGTCGCAAGAGGACAGCGGCCGCAAAAAAATTCTTCCACCAATGCAACTACAACAACCTGCCGAGAGACCAGATGATTGAGTTCTCGCATTTTAAAAAACTATTCGATCGAGTTATGACTTTACCGATACCGAAAAAATCGACTACTGTGAAATCGGTGGCCAATGCAGCCGCTACGACTACTACTACTACAAAAAATGAGACGGTGTCCGAATCGAGTAGAATCGATTTTAATATCGATGAGGATTACGAAGGAGAGGAAAAGTTTCGGGATAAGATGGCGAGAGGTATGCACTCGGATGAGTCAGTGGCGAAGATAATGAACATGAGGGAGGAGTTGATGGACATAGCTAAGGTTCATTAACTTTATTCATTCTTTCGTTCATTAGTTCTTTTTCATTCACTCGCTCTTTCATCATTCATTCATTCATTCATTCGTTTGTTCATTCGTTCGTTTGTTCGTTCATTCATTTATTCGTTCGTCCTCTTTCGTTCATTAAATAGTTAGTCATGTTTGTACTGGTTCGTTTATTCGTTCTTCCGTTCATTCACACATTCGTTCTAACCATTCCTTCATCCACTTACTTTTTCACACTCATTCTTTCACGTTACATGGAAAAACCTTCAAAAGACCAAAATCCAAAAAGAATTAATTCATTATTTATATTTCAAAATTAATATTTATATATCCATGAATAAAAAATAAATAAATGAAAAATTCGAACTTGAACTTTTTCGCCAAAAATGTTAATTTATATTTAAAAGTAACTTTTTTGACAAAATATAGGGTAGGGAACAAACTTTCCCGCCAAAATTTTTAATTTAAAGTTAAACTTTCCCGCCAAAATAGAGGGTAGGGAACAAACTTTCCCGCCAAAATTTTTAATTTAAAGTTAAAAATAACTTTCCGCCAAAACAGAGGGTAAAGAACAAATGCTTTGACCTCGTGACCTTGCAGCAGATGAAAAAGATTGAGAAAACTTTGAATGACCATCTGCTGAGTAGTACCCATATCAGACGTTCTCAACAACAACAACAGCAACAACAAGAATAGTAGTAGTAGTAGTAATAATAATAATAATAACAATAATAATAACATTTAATAATAATAACGACGATGATGATGTTGTTGATGGTGAAAGCAATGCTAATACCTACTCTACTACAACTAATGCTAAAAATAGTAATCTTGATGGTGATGATGATGATGATTATGGTGATGATGATTATGGTGATGATGATAATAATAACAACAACAACAACATACATCCAACACGCAGAAAATACGCCTATGTAATAATAGTGAGTGTAAAAATACAACAACAACGAAGAAACCAACACCAAAATTACCCAAAACATGGATACCATATTTGGATAATTCAATTCTCTAAATAAAGCTAATTATTCTATGTTTTTCGAGACGTCATAATATAAATATAACGTAAAATATATTCACCTGTGTTATCGTTCTCTGTAAACAACACTTTATTATCTAAACAACTCTAACTATTTCATATTTTATTATTAGTAGTAGAAGAAGTAGTGGTAGTAGTAATATTTGTAGTAGTAGCAGCAGCAGCAGTAGCGATAGTAGCGACAGTAGTAGTTGTGATAATGTTGATATTAGTATAAAACTAGAATACTTATTTATATAGAACGACTTTTTAAACACCATATCTTCCACGTACATTATTATTATTATAAATTATTTTTATTATTATTATAAATTATTATTATTACTATTATTAATTATTTTTAATAACTAACAATCAATCAATTAATCAATCAATCAATCAATTAAACAATTTTAATAACTAACGACGCCAAAAAATATTATCATAACTGAAGTCATATATTAAAGACTATTTAATTCATTTAATTTAAATATAATAAGAATTAATAATTTTCGAGATATTATTAAAATAATCAATCTTGGAAATAATTTCTTAATGATGAATTGTCGTAGCAGCATGAAGCATTACAACAACAGAAGCAACGATAAAAATACTTACGATACGATGACTAAACCGAGCCAAACGCGTTCCGAAGTTGGAAGTAGCAACTTCAGCTTCCAGATTCAAATTCCACGACATCTTCTGAGCGATGAACTCCTACTCAACCGCAACAACAACCAACTTTCAAAATCCTCCAAGCCAACTTCGCCATTGTCGGTCCTCGACAACGTCCAGATAGGCAGTCAAAATTCATTGAAGTCTCTTGCATGCAGTGAAGCCGCTATTAAAAATCCACCAGAGAGTCGTTCGTCGCCAAAAATTTTAACAACTCGCGATGCGAAGTCATCAATTTGTTCGCATAGCTCAGAGAAGCAAAGATTGAATTCTATTTTAGTTGCCGAGAACAAAACTCCGGGAAATAAGAGTAGGAACTCGTTGAGATGGCAAGAAGAATTGCTGGTGAAGGAGAGTAAGACCGTAGAGGAAGTCATCATACCCGACGATTATGAAACCAAGCTGCAAGACCTGAGAGATAATTTCAACGGCGATGACAACAATTTCGAAACTTTTGAGAATCAGTTGAATAAAAATATCGCAAGTAGGAACACGACGAACAATTCAAATTTGTTCATCGGCAAGACATGCGACCGAGATTCCTGCGAGAACAAAAACGACAAACCGCCATCCTCACGAAACAGAAGAAACGATTCAGCGCGCAACTTTAACTCGCGAGGACCCAGCAGTTCGAAGGTGAGTTCGGATAAAAATTTCAGCCGGCTCTCTCAACATTCAAACAGTCAGCACTCGAACAACTACCCGTGCAACGAGAACCTCAACACGAACTCGCTCAGTCACTTCAGTCGCTTGAACAGCTGCGGCAACAGTCCGCAGAGATCCAAGTTGTCATCGAACGTTCCGATCTCCCAGCTGAACAGCCTCTACTCGCACCTGCCTGGCCACAAAACCGTCCACAAGAAGGGCTCGGACGAGATGTTCAAATTCCAAAACTTGAAAAAATTCAACGAGAGAGCGGAGAAGACGTACTCGCTTCAAAACAACGACTCTCCCGGCGACCGAAACTCAAATTTCAACAGAACTGACGAGAACAACAACGACGACAATGATGAAGAGAATGATGACGATGACGACGGCAGTGGCGATCGAAACAACGGAAATATTTCATTAAATGGAGATGAGTTTCTCACAGAATTGAACCTAACGAAAAGTCAGCTGATCGACATTCAGTACAATCTCTTGAAGAACCTGCTAAACAGAGAGCGAGGTAAGAAGGACGTTAATGTGAAGGCGTACATCAAGAATGCAGTCAAAAGTATGCAAGAGAACGAGAACCAGGCCAGCATGCTGAACAGCAGCAAATTCATGAGCTCCGAGCCGGTTCTAACAATGGAATCCAACTCAACCTTCACGTCAAAACAACGCCACATAGAGCAAAACATCTACCAAATGCATTCAAAAAACCAGAACAACAAACTGGAGGCAGAACATTACAGCAAGTCAGAAGCGAAACAAAAGATGCTTTCAAATAATTCCACCACCAACACATGCAACAACTCAAGACACATCGAGAAGAGACGAGTCAGAGAATGGTTGATGGATGGCTGGCCTTCAACTCCCACACGACCCCATCAAAATTTCACTCTCTAGTTCATATCTAATCTGTAATTTCACTCAAATCTTTTCATTCTGTTTGTTCATTCGTTCATTCATTCATTCATCCATTCACTTATTCATTCATAAATTTACTATTTATTATTATTTTTATTTCAATTTAACAAATAATTTTTTGACTTAAACAAAAGGTTCAAAAATTTTAAAGTTAAAAATATTGTTTCCCTTCAACACACCTTCTTACAGAATTCTTCATTTTACATGTGAACATGGTCTGGGTGAAAATGAAGTCTGTACACTTTTCAGGAATGGTTTTGGCGTTGAAGTGCTTACAAATATGTTTTCAATAAAATTTTATATCTGGATTTACTCGTATTTTAAGAATTTAATTTTTCTATTAATACAAAGAAAATTTTTCTCTGACACTGTCAAGTTTAAAATATGAAAGTCAGATTGGCATTTATTTCTACAATTATTTAAGACTGAAATACGGAAAATTTTTAAATCATACACAATCTACCAAATAAATTCAGATCTCAAAAATCACGAGCATCAAGAAGGCATTAAATGTTTATGGAACCTCTTGTTCCAGAATCTTTGTTATATTCAATATCTTTTATACGTCACAAACATTGTTTTGAAAACAAACAAGCTAAACAAAAACATCTCAAGCTCTCTATCTATGTACTGAATACTCCCGTTACTAAATACTACTACACAGTCTCAATAATGCTATTAAAAGTATTGAAATATGCCTATCTATCCAGTGCTAATGAAATTTCTAATTTTTAATTTATTGTAAAGTCTCTGTAGGCTGATTTATTATCGTTATAAAAATTTTAGCAGTACTTTTACTGGTACTCCTACTGCATTACTGCTGATTAAGTTCACAGAATTAATTATATTTTCGTACAAAATGCTTAAATGGAGTTTGACATTAAAATCAGTAAGGTAAACTCGTCACCGTTCAACACGTCAGTTATTTTATTTATGAACATCCGACAACGATGCTTCATGACCTTCAATTGAATATTCCGAAAATAATTTATAAAAGGAATGATTTAAACGAGAAAATAACAAAAAATAAATCAGCGGGAGGTAGTTGTAGAATACCTGTGCTAAAAAATGATAAAGAAAATATATACGGATTGAACGTTTCAAATAAAAGTGACAAAAAATTCAACAAAACGTCCCACAGAAAACAACATCTAGATAGGCATACTTTAGATTCGAATGAGTTCATCTCAAAAGAATTATTCCCTTCAAGTACTAACCAACGGCCAGGTGATCTCAACGAATGTCAAATATTTAAATCAAATGATTTTTCAAAGTATTCAAGAGGCAGCAAAAGATATGCTTCATATGATGAACAGAAAGAACAATTTCAGCATTCAAACCAGCAACAACATGAAGAAAGACATTTCATACAACAACATCTGCCGACAAACAAATGTTATCGCATTCCCCCGAACCCGTCAAAACAGAACTCCACCACAACGGCACCATCTACAGCATCCAACTTTAAAGCAGAACCATCGGCGCAAAATTTCGGGGCATCGGTAAAATGCAACTCAAGAAAATCAACCATAATAAAAAATTCCAACGATAATAGCGCGAGAAATTCAATGGTAACCTGCAAATTATCAGAGCCGACAAAACAACGTTGTAATATTAATATTCATCAAAATGAAGAACTCATAAAAAATGTATGTGAATTTAATTCGAGGAATAAACGAAATATCTCAGGCAATCAAGGGGACGAAGGTGAAGGGGAAAGTGAAGGGGAAAGTAAAACAGAAACAAAAGCTGAAAGCGGAAGTAAAAGTGAAGGTGAAAGTACAGGTGAGGGTGAAGAAAGTAAAGGTGAAAGTGGAGGGGAAAGCGAAAAAGTTCTTGAAGTGATGAGCATTAAAGATAAAGCCACCAAACCTGCTGCAAGAACTGAAAAGCCAAATAGCGGGAAACCTGTAAAGAGTATCAAACCACAAACTAAAAAACCCGCGGCAAAACCTGTAACAAAACCCGCGGCAAAACGTACGGCAAAACCAGTAACAAAGCCAGAACAAAAACTCGAGAAAAAAATTGAGAAAATTCAAGCTAATAATTTAGGTGGGTTTGTGAGCTCTTATACACAAAATATTGATAAATATAAAGCAGCCTTGTTTGGCGATGACAAGCCGAAAGGTGTGAGAAAAAAAGATGTTGAAAGCACCACAACTCAAAGCGCGAGAATTTCGTTTTCGAAAGAAATTCCCGTTAACTTAAAAAGATCTCTGAAATCTTACAAGCAAGAAAAATCAAGGGACGAATCTGCGAGGAGGCAAAAAAGTGAGCATAGAAAAGATTTTGGCGAAATGACAAGCTTTGAAAAATCACAACTCTTGAAAAAATCTGTCGCTAAATTGAGGAGGAAATTATCAAATAGCCCTGACCACAGTAGAGGCAGTAGTAAGAGAACAAACAGGCGCTGGTTCCCTCCTAGGCACGAATCTAGGCTAAAAAAGTTACCGATTCACCAGGATTTTAGCGGCAGCAGTAGAAGCAGAAGCATCAGTATCGAGAGAGAAAGGCTTTGGTCACATGCTAAAAACGTTTGTAGATTAAGGAAATCGCCAATTTGTTACGTGTCAAGTAGAAGTGGCATTAGAAGAGGACGTAGAGATTGGTCGCTAACAAGAGATGTCCCTAAATCAAGAAAATCGTCAATTTGTCGTAACTGTAGTAGAACTAGCAGCAAGACGAGACATAGTCACTGGTCATTAGCTAAAAATGTTGTTAAAGCAAGAAAATCACCGATCTGTCGAGATTGTAGTAGAAGTGACAGCAATAGTAGGATAGATGATAGAAGTTGGAGCATCACTAAACATGCCTGCAAATCAAGAAAGTCGCCGATTTGTCACGCGAGTAGTAAAAGTAGCAGCAACAATAGATTAGGAGGTAGGAGTTGGACAATTGCTAGGAGTGTCGCGGAAGCAAGAAAGTCTCCAATCTGTCGCAACTGCAGCAGTACAGGTAGGAACGGCGGTCGTGATCATTGGTCGTTTTCAAGGAAAATGAAATCAAGTGTCAGTTTGTTTGCGTCGAATTCCGGCCTACTATCTCGCCAAAAAAAACTTTACACGCCAACAGTTAACGATCGGTACAAAACGTGTGGATTGAATTACTATCGTGGTGTTAGTACTTGCTGTGACAATCTAACAAAACAAACAAAAATGACCAGCCCATGTGCCTCGCTCTGTGGCAATTCTTCCATTTATTGCAAAACTAACGATTCCTGCCTGCTACCAAATCTCCTTAAGAGGTACGACACGCCTCTTCCCAGTTCCAGTCCTGTGGAGAATGTAAATCTGCTGAAACAACTTTGTAATACTGTAGCTTGCTTGAAAGACAACCAGAAATCAATTCCGAATTTCAAAAGTTTGAGCTACAAGAACCACAACTCACCATGCATGCCTGATCCAATTTGTTGCACTTCTTATTGCATCCAAGCCGGTCAGAGACCGAACAAATTTCCATACCATCACGCTGCCACAACCACTTGCTGCACACCGAAAACAACTTGCTTAAGTCCTCTTGCTCAAGCCTGCTTACAGCAATGTCAACATCAGCTGCAGCAACAGCAGTGCCTACCGCCGCAACAACAACAACCACACCAACAACAATGCCATCAACCGCAACAACAACAACAACAATGCCAGCCCCAGCAACAACGTCAAACATTATGCGTTCAACACGCGGGTACTCAGTGCTCAAACTCACACTCCTGTTCAATTTCTCGAGATAATTTCGCAAAACAAAAGCCTTGCAGTCAAAATGCTCCACAACTAAATAGTCAACAGTTAGCGTGGTTACAATGTGTTCAACAACAACAACAACAAGAACAGCTTTTACAACAGCAACAGCAACAATTGTTGCAGCAACAGTTGCAACCACAAACACCACTGCCTATTCCAGCTGAATACACCAACAGTATACACCAGCATATTCAGATGCAGTGCCTAGCAACGATCACTCAACAGCAAATATTGCTGGAGAAGCAACAGCAGCAGCAGCAGGAGTTTCAAGATTTGTTGAAGAAGCAACAACGTGAACTGCAACTGCAGCAAAAACAACAACAACTGCAGCAAGAACGCTTCTTGAAAGAACAGAAATCAAAAGAAAGATTGAAAACCGACAAAACCGAACGAATAATTTTAACCAGCGTACCTTCACAAAACACCATTCACCCGAAATGCGAATTTTTTCAACAAAGTTCGAAGAAATCAGAAAAAAATTTGATTTGTAAGAAGATTGACTCTGATACATCGAAGCAGAAACTCGTCAAAAGCACCGAAACCATCCAACCAACGAAAAAACCGTAAGCAAATTATTAGTTTCGATTTCAAGAACCTCTTTAATTTAACTAATATCAATTTCTTCATCAAAAATTATTAAAAGATTTAATAAATATGAATAAAATTATTAGAAAATTATTTCGAAATAATTTTTTCTTGATTTATTTCCCGAAGGGCTATTTTAATATGCGAATGCTTGCCACCTGCCAGATATAAAATGGTGAGAACGATGTTTATCGAATTTAAATCATTCTTTCTTTTTAATATCATGTGCGTGCATGCATGTGTTTGTGTGTGTGTGTGCGTGCGTGTGTGCGTATGTGTGAACGCGCGTACGTGAAAGTACTGGATTATAATGAGGTTTAAATAGACGGCGTTTAAACACGGTTACTTCGTTTCAACGTTTAGTTTACTTCAAAACACGAAATGAATTGAAATTAAACAGATGTGTAAAAAGACACAGGAGGCGAAAGAAGGTGCCAAATGTCGCTGTGGTTGTCAGTGTTGTTGCTGCTCATGTCCAGTATCACCACAAGGGAATGTGAATATGTGCCATTATCAGTATCCTTACTGCCAACAACATCTATGTCAGCAACAACAACAACAACTCTGTCAGCAACAACATCAGCAATGTCAGCAACAACTATGTCAACAGCAACAACAATACCATCAGCAACGACAGTGTCAACAACAACAATGTTCATGCTTACAGCAACAACAATGTCAATCGCCACATCAACAGCAACAATATTTCCCATGCCAAAAACAACAACAACAATGCCATCAATATTCACAACAACAATGCGCGCAACAATGTACGGAACAACATTGTCAACAACAACATTGTCAGCAACAACAATGTCAACAACAACCTTTGGTAAGATATACTATTTTATTTCCAAATAACTCTTTGTTGCTTTAATTAAAAAAATAGTTTAATTTGATTTGATAGCTTTTTCAAGCTTTTTCATTGTACAAGTTACCATTATGTGCTTTTGTGAAAAAATATTTCATAATTCAATGACGAGTTGGCGCCACTGGTAAGATCCGAGACTTGTGGTGATGAAGTGATCGAGTTCGACTGCACAGAGATCTCTGGCTATTTCACTCTAGAAATGAATTATGAATAGATTGAAATTATTGAGAAATGCGAAAAGACAGATAAGTATATAACAAAATAATTTCATTGAAATTGTGTTTTTTTTTCAATTCTAGCAAAGGCCAGTAAGCTGTGTATGTGCCACTAATCAATCTACGCAATGTTCTGAAATGAAAATAGGTGTTGTCTGCTCAAAATGTCCGGAAAATAAAAGGCCTTTATACAAATTAATACCCAAAAATACCGTGGAAGTTATACAAAGGACTGATCTCTCGTGATTTTAATGAATTTTATGTATTTTTACTCAAATAAATTGTATGTCTACATAAATGTTAGTTTACCGAACTTAGAAAATTAAAATTTTGAATGTATTTGCTTGTATTATTCCTTTGATGTGGGTATTCGAAAGAGTGTAATTTATTGTACCTTATTCATCGTACCCAGTTCGAAATACTCAACATCGATCTAAACTCGTATTTGTTTCCATTTAATTTTAATCAAAGATGGCATCTGCCGTTTCGCTATCGTTTAGGTGGTTAGATATTTTGGAGAAGGAGTTTGACAAATCTTTTGTCGATTTGGATTTGTTGTTGGGGGATGTTGACCCGGATCAGTGTGACATCACTTACGATGGCCGACAAAAAATGACTGCTCTCAGTGCGGCCTTCGCCCAGCTGAGTCACAAAGCCCAAACTATTTTTCAATCTAATGCCAAATTGGAGGTTAATTGAGTCAGTAATTAGTGTTAAATTTTACTCTATTCTCTTCCACTGCTGCTGTCACGTTGTGTTTTTATGTGAACGTTTTTTTATTGTTTTTACTCATGTAAAATTGTAAAGTAAATTAAATTTTATTTCAAAAGTAAAACATCCACATCCTCTTCTATATTAATATAAAAAATAATTTAATTTAATTTAATTGATAATAGAATAGACGTAGAGGATAGAGACCATAGTTTATTCTTTTTCAGTTTTACTCTACTAAACACTTTATGTTTTATTTTCAAGATGATATAAAATAAATATAATAGTACTAATTATAAAACTATAATTTATTTAAAATAATTTAATGAAGGCCCAGTTATTAGATCTAAAAAGTGATCTAGTAGAGGAGAAAGCAAACAGAATTGTCCTGGAAAAAGAAGTGGAAAATCTGATCTTACAGTTACACTCCGCCAAATGCCAATTACTCAACCAAACTGAGAACAGTGACGAGTCTGGAAAGATTAAAAAAACTTTGGTTAGTTTTTTAAGATTATTGTTTTGTATTTGAAATTTTTGAAATATTATTTTTAAATATTCATTGAATTCATTTATTATTTAAATTATTTTATCTAAATTTTTATTGAATTTATTGTAATTTTTTGTCAAAAATTATAAATTATTAATCGTTTGCTAGACAAATCCATGAAAAACATTTTCCCAAAAATCAGGAAGAGGAATTAGAGCGTTGCAGGGCAGAGAGGCTAGAATCAGAAATATGGAAAGCTGAAGTGATGGAGCAGAGAAAAGAGATATCAGACTTGAAACAGTACATAGTTGCTCTGCAAGGTGAGGTCTATGGAGCCAGGCTGGCCGCCAAATATCTTGATAAAGAGCTTGCCGGAAGGTTCATTCATTATAATTTAACATAATTAGTACTTTTATTATATTAATATTTATAATAATTGTAATAATTGTTGTTAATAATTTTTAGAATTCAACAAATCCAACTACTTGGTCGAGATATGAAGGGCTCTGAGCATGACAAGCTGTGGAACCAGCTTGAGGCAGAAATTCATCTACACAGACACAAAACTGTGATCAGGGCATGTAGAGGGCGCTCTTCTAAACAGAAAAAATGCCCCCAGCCCTCTGGACATGTGTGTTGTTTGTGTGTTTGTTGTTTGTGTGTGTGTGTTATTTGTGTGTGTGTTTTGTTTGTTGTTGGTGTTGTTGATCACCTCTAATCTTATCCAATTTTTATTGGGTGTATGAACAATTAATTTATTAATAAAAAGGACTTCCAATCGTTGAAGAGAAGGCAGGGCATAGGAAATATCAGACTTGTTCATCTGTACAAGTCGCCAGAGGAGGGACTAGGCATATCAATCACTGTCTGTATTACCTCATTAACATAATTTATTCATTTTTATACATTAAAGTAACATCAATCATTTTTTGTAACCCATCATTTGTGTAATTTATTCATTCATCCAGCAAAGTAACATGGAATTATTCAGCTAAACGAACATCAAATCACTACCGGCTATTAATTTGCATAATTTATTCACCGTTGAACAGGGGGGCAAAGAACACGGGGTACCAATCTTAATCTCGGAGATCCACGCGGACCAACCTGCCCACCGTTGTGGTGGCCTCTTCATCGGTGACGCCATTCTTTCCGTGAATGGTGTTGATCTGCGATCTTCCAAACATGCTGAAGCTGTCCAAATACTCTCACAACAAGTCTGTATGTTTGTATGTCTGTATGTTTGTATTTCTGTATGTCTGTATTTTTGTATTTCTGTATGTTTGTATTTCTCTATGTCTGTATGTTTGTATGTCTGTATGTTTGTATTTCTCTATGTTTGTATTTCTGTAAGTTTGTATGTATGTGTGTGGCTGTTTGCGCAATTGTAGTTATTATTGATCATTAATAATTTTGTACTAGTAATTTTGTTTTTTTTTTTCACAAGTTTATTTCAATCAAATAATGAAAGAAAAAGGTGCAACCTTAGCAATGAATGCTATATTAATGGTGACCTTAACTAAGATGATAGCCCAAATTATAATGTCAGTCATATTGGAAAACAAAAAATGAAAATTGAACAATTAATTAGATTAAATAAGAAACCGTGAAAATTAATAATGTCAACCCGAAATTAGAAAAGGAAAATTAATTAATAATAAGAAAAATAAATGAAATCATGAGAAACAACAAAAAAAAACCTTCAATTGTTTTTTAAACTTATTAAAAGTGTCAATTTTTTTTAAATAATTGGGAAGATCATTCCATAATTTTGGCGCATAAAAACAGAATATTCTGAAACTTCGCTTGTTAGTAGCTACTAATGTCCTGAATGAGACTTCACTAATGACTCTAGTAGATCTTGGAACCTGGATTGAATTTAAGACAATCGATGCGATATCACCCTTAGTTGATATTCCCTTTATCACTTTAAATAAGAAACAGCAGGCCTTATAGCAATTTATTTCATACACAGAAAGAAGCCGATTTATCAGAAAATTATCACGGATGTAATTTGGTCTTTTAGAATAAAAAAGTGCTTTAACACATTTTTTTTGGCAAACGAATAGTTCCTGTATACAAGTTTTATTTGCATTTCATAATTATGAATAATTATGCGAACAATAATTTAAAAAGAAAATAAGACTGATGAAAATTTCTTGCTAGCATGGAGACATCGAGTTGGAGGTTGTCTTTGTAGTTCCTGATGAAGACAGCGATGATGAAGATCACGACTATGAGGATGAAAATGGTTTCAGGTCATTAGCATAATTCATTCATTCATTTGTCATCACGAATGAATTTGCATAAATTATCATATTTCTCTTCAAAGATATCGTATCTATGACGACCACATAATTAATGAGGGCGCCAATCCAGCTCACATTGTTCAGACGGCCAGTACAAATGTCCCAGCCAATCACGTCGATCCATCCATTTGTTTGGACACATCGACAGCTGGGACATCAGCCAATGAGAATCGTTCTACCATGTGGTAGTGTTGATTTTTTTTTGTGTTTGGTTTTTAGAATTTTTGTTGTTTGTTGTGATGCGTTCGAATGGGCGGTTAAGATGAGTTTGAAATGATGATAAATATAACTCATTGTCAGTTTTATTTTATTTTTTGTAAAAATAATCTTTCAGTCAACATCATAAGCAGCAGTTGGAGCTGCAACAACAACAACAGCAGCAGCAACAACAACAGCTTGAATCAACAACCAGTCGTCAACAACAACAACATCAACCTGACATGCCAAACGACAACAACATCAGCATCAGCAATGATTTCAATGATTTATCAAAACAACAGCAACAACATCACAATCTTGTTGCTATGTCTCCAAAAAACAACAACAACAACATCATCTCCACGACAACGACAACAACCACCACAAAATGCATTGCCCCAACCAACCATCATCACCATCATCACCATGCTGTTTATCAGAGCCAAGAAAAATATTGATGATAATCAAATGTCTAAATCAATCAATCAATTAATTTATTAATCAATCAATCAATTATAATTATATAATATTATCAACAACAACAACCTAATTGTAGTTAATTAAATAATTATAGTATGGATGTGTAATGAGATAAATTGTTGTCTTTTTTGGGCTGTATTAGCAGCAATACTAATAGAGAACAAATATGCAATAGGATAATGGTTTTGTATAATTATTAATAATTATTACGTAATTATTAATTATAACTATATATTCATTGTAGCACAAACGTGCTTTTTGTTATATATATATATATATATATACATACATACAATGTTTTACTTGTTGAACATTTGTGCGTGTTGTATGTCTAGAATGATTGAAACATACATTCCATTTATTTATTATGGTTTATTATAGTTATTATCATAGTTATAGTAATAATAATTATTATTATTATTATATTATTATTATATTCATTGATAATTTGCTGACTCATTTCAATTATCAATTTTTTTCAACTGCTAGTGAGAACGTACACAACACACACACACATACACACACACACACATATATATATATATATATATATATATATATATATATAATTTACATAAACTTTAGTTATTATGATATTTACAACAAGGTTAATTTATTTCACAATTTAATACATATTTTATTTTCTATATTTTCACATTTTACATTAGACATTTATTTTAATTAAATTATATGTTTAAACAATATTTAGGCTCTGAAGATAGCATTACGCCGAAACAGCGCTGTTAGCTTTATTCCAGTTTTAGATAAATATGAACTCAAACAATACCGCCTCGTTGAATGTCTTATAAAGAAGTTAATTAATGCAAAATGGGCAAACAATTTCAATGAAATTTGCATTTCTGAAAACCTCGTTCATATATATATATATATATATATATATATATATATATATATATATATATATATATATATATATATATATGATCTATCCATCCATCTATCCATTTATTATTTATTCAATTGTTTCTCCGTCTATCTTTGATAAGGATAGTTAATTTATTTCCATTTTTAATTTCAGATTAGTTTGATGTTTGCCGTTACAGTCTGCAAATTTCAGTTTAAAATGTGATAAATATATCAGTTTTTTTTATATTTACTATCGCGTTAGTTGGGTGTTTGTAATTCGCTTCTCCAGGTTCCTCTGTGTCTGTGTGTGTGTTTGCGCGCGCGTGTATGTGTCCGTCCGTCTGTGTGTGTGTTTGCGTGTGTCTTTTAGTTTTATACAACATTTGCTGCATATTTATAAACAACAATGACGAAATGATTAAACATTTTTCAAACTTTACTTTGCATGTTTCACAATTTCTTCAATTGAAGCTAAACTGTTGATTGATTTACTATATATGTGTGATTTTTTTTGTTACTTCTACTGCTGTTGTATTTATGCACTCTTCGTTATAACCGGACTTTGTTTGCTTTCGTTATTACGAAGTTTTCAAGGTGCTATTACGATAGTTTCGCTATGTTGGATTGATTTCTTGTG